TGTCACCAAGCCCAGCTAATTTTTTTTTTTTTTTTTTGTAGTGATGAGGTTTCACCATGTTGGCCAGGCTGGTCTCGAACTCCTGACCTTAGGTGATCTGCCCACCGCGGCCTTACAAAGTGCTGGGATTACAAACATGAGACACCATGCCCAGCCCCTGCTCACTTTAAATTCTCAGCTCATTTGACCTTTCCTACCAAGTCACATCCCCCTGTCATAGCCTCTCCTGGACTGTGCACCCTCTCTTTGTGGCATGGTCACACACACAGTCTGACATCTGTGAGTTGATGAGATGATTAATTTCTGTCTCTTCACTCACTGTAAATTCCGTGATGGCAGAGGTCAGCACTCTCCACTCACCACCGTACCGCAACACCTAATCCAGTGCTTAGTAAATGGCAGAAACTCAACAAATAGAGAATGACTGAAAAGAGTGGGATGCTTTTGTTTTTGTGGTTGTTCAGAATGTGGTTTCATTTGTCTATTCTTGTGCTGATCTGTATCAGTCCTTTAAAATATAGTCACATGGGAGGAAGGGACAGCAACTTTCCTACCTCCTTTCTCTAGAGCGCACCTAGCCAAGCACTGTGCTTGAGGCTACAGATTCAACAGAGAACACGCAAGACCTTGACCCATGTTGTCCAGCGAAGGAGACAGATACCAAATCATTACAAAGAAATATGATGAATACGATGCAGGGGAAGCACCGCTGGCTGGTGAGCCTGGACGGTAATTGGTGGGCTGTTTCTGTCAGTTTCCTCATCTCCCAAGTGTCAATAACAGTAATGCCCAAAGGGTTGTTGAGAAGATGAAATGAGAAAATCCACAGAAACCACCTAGCTCAGAGCATAACACAGTAAAGATTCAACTGAGGTTGATCATGTTGTTGTTATAATTAGCAACATGATAACTGGTGCAACTGATGGGGGCTTCCTGTGGAAGGGATTTGGAAGCTGAGAGTCAAAACCGAGGGATTTTCCAGGTCAAGGGTAGGGGCAGAGGGTGCCTGACATTCAGAAGCAGTGACATAATTTGCAGGGCCCAGTACAAAATGAAAACAGGGGCTCCTTGTTCAAGAAGTATTAAGAATTTCAAGACAACAAACACAGAGCATTAAACCAAACACAGGGCCCTTCTGAATGTGGGGTCCTGTGCACAGATTGCATGCCCTGCTGGGTGTGAGAGAGTGTGGCCACTGGTGCTTCATAGGGCCAAAGGCAAATTGGCAAAAAGAAGTCTGTAATGCTGGCGTGATGCGGATTCTGTAGCTGATATGATTCAAGAAATCAGGCCTCCTTCATTGGCTGATAGAAACGATAAAGGTCAACACACGTGGACTGAATGGAGAGAATTTTTTCCCTATGCAATCCAAGCTGGGTTTTAAGCTCTTAAGGGCATGAAAGGTTTCCTTCCTTTCTGAAGCTAACGTGGCAGCCTGGCTCCACCCTGCCATGATTGTTAGAAATCCAGCTGCCCCTCCTCCTCCTGTCAGGGGAACTGCTCTGCCCTGGGAGCCTTGTGAAAAATGACTTGGTTTCTAAAAGCCAGGCTTTCTCATTGAAGAAAAGGTCAACCAAAGCAAGGAGTTGAATCTGGCAGAGTGGGAAATGTTCTACTGTGAATGGTATCATCTTTACATCTCTATCTTCCTCTGCAGGAGCTCCCCAAAAGGCTGAAATGTCAGCTTGTCAGCGTTTCCTCCATGCCTGAGCATTCACTCCCTGGTGGGAACACGGGGACAGCCGGGCCTGCTCGGTCAACAGGATGGACAGCTTAATCCCCCTTGCCACTGGGGGTGGGGTTCGGTCACCTCACACCAACTCCTGAGCTCCTCAAATTGGGAATGTCACGTGTGGGCAGGGGCAGCTTCCCTGACTGAGCATGTTGGAAACAAGTCCTTGTCATTTGCATCAGGACTATGTCGGGGCATTTTAACATTCAGGCAACATCTGGTCTCTGCAGAGAAAAATAACTAATTCACACCATGACCTGCCAGAAAGGGCACCACTTCATCCTGAAGCTCTGCCTTGCCTGCGGGCGTTGATGCCAGGTGAAAAGAGGGCCCCTGTCTAATGGGCTCTACCTCTGGAATGGAAAAAACTGAGCCGGGTCAAAGGAGCAGGACTTCTAGGCAGTCCCTGGGTAGACCTCTTTCAGGAATCTGAAACCCCGTCTCTACTAAAAATTAAAAACAAAAAAACTACCCAGGCATGGTGGTGTGTGCCTGTAGTCCCAGCTACTTGGGAAGCTGAGGCAGGAGAATTGCTTGAACCCAGGAGGCGGAGGTTGCAGTGAGCCAAGACCGCACCACTGCACCAGCCTGGGCAATAGAGAGAGAGACACATGGTCTCAAAAAAAAAAAAAAAAAAAAAAAAAGAGAGAGAGAGAGAGAGAAGAAGAAATTATGGTTTAGGAGTCATGCAGCTGGAGCCCACAAGGTTCTAAACCTCCCGAGTTGCTCCTAGGGGTGACGTCACTATTGTAAAACCTAAGATTGGTGCTTGAGAAGTTTTTCAGATCCTGCACTCAATGGCTCAATTGGCGCCACCCAGATCAATAAACTGGCACATGTGGTCTTGTGCCCCCACCCAGGATCTGACTCAGCGCAGGAGGACAGCTTCCACTCCCGACGATTTCACCTCCAACCTGACCAATCAGCACTACCCCCACTTCCCGACCCCAATCCCCAAATTTCCAGGGAGACTGATTTGAGTAGTAATAAAACTCTAGTCTCCCATACAGCCAGCTCTATGTGAATTAAACTCTATCTCTGTTGCAGTTCCCATCTTGATAAATCAGCAATGTCCTGTCTAGGCACAGGGCCAGGAGAACCCAGGGGCAGGTACAGGAGCCGCTGCAGGGCCACAGGTGGGCAGTTGAGGCAGGGGAGAAGCGCGTCAGCATTCCCACTAGGTACACGCTGTTTGAGAATTCACCATTCGGGGAGCAGCCGGGCTGATGGCCCGGGTGGAGGTGAGGGTGGGTGGAGGCAAAGCCACATTTCCAGTGTGCTCCGAGTCACGCAGAGGGCCGCAGGGCCTTCCGTACTGACAAGCTCTGAATCCTCACAGGGGTGCTCACCACTCTGGAGCATCACTCCACAGTTAGTCCCACACTCTTCCCACAGGCTCCTTCCCCTCTGCCTTCAAAGAGGCAGGGTGTCTTTAGACATGCGTACACACACGCACGCACACACAGACACAGGCATACAGACACACGTAAATACACACAGACATACACATGCAGACACACACAGGCAGACATACAAAGACACAAGACACAGATACAGACACACACAGACACAGACATACGGACACAGGCAGACACACAAAGACAGAGACACAGACACAGAAAAATGCAGACACATATGCACAAAGACATGCACAGACACACACACACACATATCCCCTACACCTCCTTTTCTAGCAACCTTCTAGACTTTTCCTTGCTTTTGTTGACAAACTTGCTGAGTTGCTAGCATCTTGGCAGCACATTCCCCCTCTGACCTGTCGCCAGGCTCCCACGTCGTGACACTGCATTGGCTTAGACCTTCCTGAAGGCACTGATAACTGTTTTCTGGTCTTCACCGTGTCCTGTCTGCTCAGGCTCTGTCACTCCTGACCCTCTGGGCCATCCCTGTACTTTCCTTGTGCCTCTGCCTCCCTCCTACCGGCCACCAGCCTGTCCCGCAGGGGCGATCTCCAACCCACCGGGCTTCTCTAGACATTCCCTCTGTTCAGACTCTGAAGCTGAATGACAGCAATGTGACGCCTGTCCCTGAGTCCTCAGGTCCTGGAAATGGACTGGGCAGGGGGACAACTAGGGAATAGGGTCAGGAGTGCGAGGAACCCATGGCTCCCAATTCCAGACACTTCAACAGAAGAACAGTCCTTTGTAAGACTTCTGGGCAAAGGCCAGGAGACGGCTGGGCTAGCGCCCCCACGGAGGGGGCGTGTCCTGACTGGCTCTGTTGGGCCTGGGAGACTCCCCTACACACTGAGAGCACTGCTATAGTTGTGTCTGCCTTGCCAAAAACTGTGAAAATGACCACTGTTCCCCTCAGACTTCCCTTCAGCCTCCAGACTTCCTTAATGGCAAAGACTGGCCGAATAAATCAGCCAGCGAGCCAGCCAACCCTGCTACAGAATGGTCTGACTCGAGGCAGGCAGGATGCAGGCTGCCTTCCAGGACAGGTGACCATGTGGCAGGCGGGGACAGGGGCTCTCTGGGGCATAAAATTGCCTTTCTCCAGCCAGCAGGCCTGTGAGACTGATTTGCTGACACCTGGCATTGGGGACTCAGCTGAAATGTTTGGTGTTCTACAGAGACACAGCCCTGATGCAAGACATGTAAAAGGCATCAGGAATTCTGTTCCAACGTCCCTTTGTCTCCTCTCCTGGTAGACTCACGCATTGCTTTTAATGGTCTGCCTGGAGTCACCACTCACACACATAAGCCTATTCTCACGTGTTTCTTCGGGTTAGATTGTTCCTTTCCACCTCCAAGTTGCTTTTGGCCCTTCCTCTCCAGGTATGGCAGCGTCACAGCCTTGTGACTAGGCAGAGCATCCCAGGTGGCTGCCGTCCCTTCCGCCTGCTTGTGGGCATTGAGGGCAGAGTCTTTCTTCTGGAACTCAGCTTGGCTGAATATGGGAGTCTATTTGGACCTTTTCTCCTTTTCACGGCCAGGGCCAGAGCTAGGCAGGCAGACGCCAGGGGAGCCTGCTCTCTCAAGGCAGCTATCCTCCTGCTACACGGACAAATCATCCAGGCTTCTGTCCAGGGTCTCCGGGTCCACGGCAGGGACGCCTGACACATGCCACACATCCTGAAGCCTCTTCTTTCCTTCTTCTGAGGGTAGAAATACGCAAGGCTGGCTGGCAGCCACTCTGAGGGTGTCCTTTATGGCTGTCCGTATTAATCTTATTTTGGTCCAATGCTTACTGCCAGGGAAGACATCTGCTAATGGTACTTCTCTGTTTTATTGCAATCTGGCAACAGGAAATTGGCTTTTCAGGGGAGACTACAAAGGGCAAAGTGTTGGTCCTGGTGCCCTCTGGTGGCTGAATTGCAATCTCCTCACCTTCCCCAGGAACCGCCCCACTGGCTGGAGAGAACCATGACTTTGTGGGTTGGCTCCACTGCCTGAGTGGCTTCAGATCAGTCTGGAGTTGGTCAGCTTATGTCTCCAAATCTCCAGTTATAAGATTAGGCATTTTTTTCCTTGTGTAATTTCCAATCAGAAATTTGTTCAATGGTCCAGTTAGTATCTTGGTCTGTCTAGAAGGTGGATTACTGGATGTCAAAACAATCTTACTTGCCATACTTTGTCACCTGAAATTTTTGTACTCAACATTTGCCAAAAGATTGAGGGGGCTGAGGTACAGGGGATGTCTTTCCAGACATATTTGTATCTCTGGCTCTCAAGAGAAATATGACATACTCCTGTTGTAAGGCACACACAATGAAGTAAAGTTGAATTAAAATAAGTAAGTCATGACAATTCTCTATTTTATTTCATGAAATGAGAGTAACTATTCCCAAACTAGGATCATAACCTCTGACTTCATTAAACAAGAGAGCAAAATAGGTTGCATGGCTGGGGTGTCAGTAGCCAAATCGATGGTCCTGATTGAGACATATGGGAATATTGTTTTTCAATGACACACGCAGCACTGCTTCTTATGATGGTGCCATTTCCTCAGCCAAGCCCTGCCAGGTATCAGCCCCCTGTAGAACTCACAACTCTCCCTTTGCATCGCGAATGAACTAAGTTCATGCACAGGTGCTCACTAAGAATCAAGAGAACTTGATCTACCCTTATTCCTCCATCCTCTCTCCTGCTCTCTGCAGTCTGCAATGCTCACCTCCCTTTCCTCCTCCTGCTCATGTGCCTCCCACCTGGACTTCCCTGTCTGCAAAGTGCCCTTGAGCTTGAGCCCTTTCCAAGTCTGTTCCCATGGTTTAGCTCCCTCTTGCAGCTTTGACGTTCACTGGAGATCTTTTTCAATTGTGCCTCGCCTCCCAGCATTGAGGATCTGCCCTTCACTTTCGGGTGCTGACCTCCAGCAGGAAAGACATCTTGACTCCTGTCTGCAAGCAGGTTGCCCCACGCTCCATGCCTCCTTCCCACATGTGAAGTGAGGAGGTGGGACTTGATCACTGGTTTTCACTCCAGAGGGGTTCCCAGGAGCCTCTACAGAGGCCTCTCAACTACCCCTTACGCTCTGCTTGGAGAAGTTTCCCCTTTTCATCAGCTTTTCAAACTGTGTTTCTGAGATATATTTCTTTTGGGAAAAAAAAATGTGGCTTAAAAGGTAAAGTTTAAAGAAAAGTTAAAAACAAAGAACAAGAAGATCTAATATATCTGCCAAAGCTCTCAAACACTTCAGAATTTCCTCCTCTCCCAGCTCCTGCTCCCTGACCTCTCCTTGGGTGGGAAGGCAGTAGTAATAATTTATAGACAGCATTTTGCACTGGCTCCAGTCATCAGCACTTCTAATGGGTCTTGGGCAGCTGTCCCAGGCCAGATAAGTCACATTAAAGCTGAGAACAAAACCAAAGGATTGGATTTCTCTTTAAGTCAGGAGGAAAAAAAATGTGTCATTTGAGGCTCTCAGTTGGTCTGGGTTCCTGGAAGCTGTTGACTTGCTTTTAAAAGATGTCTTAAATAATTACAACTATCTTCATTTTTGAAACTTCTTGGGAAGCTTTCTTCTTTGTTTTGTTAGAGAGTTGTTCTAAGTAACAGCATGAAATTTGCCTACTCTGGTGTCAGGCTAAGACATGGGGAGGGAAAGAAAGCTAATATTTATCCAGCTTACTTCATTTCAGGGGCTAGGTGTAGATTAACTGGGGGAATACTCAGGGCAAGCTGGAGTGTCCCCACGCTGTACATCACTGGCTTTAAGTACTTTGTCACATGCCCAGAGTCACACAGCTGGTATGACGAGAAGCCAGGATTCAAGCTAAGGCTGGCTGATAGTGGCATCTGCAGGGTTCTGCAGCACACGTGGAGACTGGAAAGAAAGGCTCCATTTGGAAAGTCCTTCTGGGATCCAGAAGCCTCCATAAATAGGGCACCATATAATTTATCTTCTAAATGGGCACACTTGTACAGGATAAATGCTAAAGTGTATGAGATGCGAGGACATCAGGCATTAAATGGTACTGTCACAGAAACTGATGTTCATCCCCCTCATCAGGTAGGCCAGGCAGATTCCTACAATGCCAAGAAGAAAGGCTACCATTGGGAGAAACGGAAGCGGCCCCATCAGGGTTTGAACTGGGTCTTGCTCTAAATCCCCTGTTCCTTCCTCCTCATGACATCATAACCCCTCCTAACACGCTCTCTTCACAACCCCAAGGACACTCCCAATTCCCTGAAGCGTATGCCAGCCAGGGCTCTGGCCAGCACTGGGGAGAGGTTTGGAGACAGTCCCAACCTAAAACTTCATTATCACTGGGCAACCCCGGGGAAAAGGTGCAAACCTCATCTTGGTTCTAAAACCCAACTGGAAGCTTTGTGCAATCAGCGAGCACTTCATGAATCAGGCACACCGACCTGGAGGTTAAAAGAAAGAGTGATCCCTTTCCTACTGTTTCATCTCCCTCTACTTCTCTCTGTCCTTTGCCGAAGCTGAAAATCAGCATATTTGTTGGATCGTGGCTGGTACTGATGGTCTGAAGTAACCAGAAAGCTGGCATGGATAAGTTGTTCCCAGCCTTGGGAAAGTAAGCCAGATTCATCCCACTGCTTTATTTTCTGTGTTTGTGATGCTTTGACATCTTGGGGCTACCATATTCCTCGAGATAGTAAATGATCACCTTCCAGAGAACCTTTCATATGCAAACCAACCAATCTGGAGCCCACACCCCCAATACCAATACCTCCCCTATGGACTTTTACACTGGGACCACTCCCCACCTGCCCTCATCACCCCAGTGCAGGTACCAGACACCGAGGGGCAGCCCTGCATCCTAGAGGCTGCTGAAAAATGTCAAATTAGCCAATCCTAGGCCCGTTTATCCTCCCTCACCTATTCCTTCCTGCATAAACCATAATATTCTTGCCTGCGTTTTCGCCTCACTTCCTCCGCCTCCCAACCAACGCTGGTGCTCCCCAGCATGGCTCCTGGTGGCGTGGTGCCTCCCTCTTGGGAACTGTGAGTAACACACTAGCTTTTCAGTGGCAACTGTCTCCTCATCTGTGGCCTTATGATACCTCATGCTAATAAAACCTACATTTTAAAATAGAAGCCATCCACTCCAAAAGTCATGAGTGCTCTTCCTCCCCCTCATAGATGGTCTTAGTAAGCAGGAAGAGCAGGAGCGGGCAAAAGCAATGGTGGTTCCAACACGGAATTGCATCTTCACCAAGAACCACAAACAGCTGGCTTTCTCCTCAGTGGCAGTCAAGTGGGGAAGTAGGAAGGGGCAGCTTCTTAAAAAGATGCCCTGGCCAGGTGTGGTGGCTCACACTGGTAATCCCAGCACTTTGGGAGGCTGAGACAAGTAGATCACTTGAGGCCAGGAGTTCGAGACCAGCCTGGCCAACATGGCAAAACCCCATCGCTACTAAAAATATTTTTAAAAATTAGCCGAGCGTGGTGGCGGGCACCTGTAATCCTAGCTACTCAGGAGGATGAGGCAGGAGAATCACTTGAACCCAAGAGGCGGAGGTCACAGTGAGTGGAGATCGCACCATTGCACTCCAGCTTGGGCAGCAAGAGCAAAACTCTGTCTCAAAAAAAAAAAGACGCCCTGGTAAAACGTTATCATAGCATCATCTGTGTGTGCCTCCCACTAAGCAAAGCACCACTCTATATTAGAAAAATAAAACCATCATCAACAACATGTAACTAATCACAGCTCTGCCAGAGACATTTCCTCTTAGCTGCCTAAAGTACTTTTTGGAGAAAAATTAATTGAAAATATACAAATTGGATTCACTGCATTCAATTACAAAAAAATATGTATTTTCAAAGAAGCTTTTAATAGTGAAGATATTAAATGCAGGAGAATGGAATATTCCCAGTTAAAAGGCATTCAGATAATGCCAGCATTTTCTCCCCACGGTACTTCTGTTAGTAATTAATGTTGAAATGTGTTTGCAAGAGTTCTTGTTTGTTTCAAAGTTAAGAAACTAATGTGCTTCCCTGTGAGAACAAAGTCTGTAAATATTTTATGTAAGTGAGAGAATGAAGTGAATTCATCCCAAGAACATTTGTCATCCGCGGTTAGGACAAGCAATTCGTTCTGCCCACCTCAGCCTGACGGTGTGTGCCTGGAAGGTGTCCGTAAGCCCAGTGTTAAATGATGCACACTCCATTTTTCCTACTCACCCTTTAGCCAGCGTTGCTATGCCAACGTCAGTTAGCTTCATTCCTACACCTACAGAAAGAGAAAGCAAAGATGGGAGTTTGTGTTACTCAGGGTTCCTCAGAAAGCTGGGCCATTTAGCCCCAGGGAAGGGATAATGACAGTTCATCCTCCTTCCCCTTCCTGCGAGTACACCTGAGGCCTCTTTCAAATACCATCCAGCTTTAGGCAGAGACCACGGGGAAGGCAGCAGTTAGTGGGAGTCAAGTCTCATGTGATGTGAGCAGTTAACCCAGCCCTCTCAGCTCCCCAGATGAAGTCCTCTGCCTGCCCCACACACCCACTCCCTGTCAAGGAGGGAGCTGGCCACTCCATGAAAAGATCTAAGGCCTGATGCATGTCCCATAAGCTCACCTCTCAGAAATACTCTGACTTTGCCTTAGGTCTGGCTCCCCATTCTTCAATGAAAGTGGAAACCCTTACATGTTGGGAAGAGGCGTAGGCATGGCCTGGGATTATCAATGCCAATAAGCAACAGGGTTTGCTATGGTTTGGCTGTGTCCCTATCCAAATCTCATCTTGAACGGTAGCTCCCACAATGCCCACGTGTGGTGAGAAGGACCTGGTGGAAGATAATTGAATCATGGGGTAGTTTCTTCCATACTGTTGTCACTGTAGTGAATAACCCTCAGGAGATCTGATGATTTCATAAGGGACTTTCCCTTTTGCTTGGCTCTCATTCTCTCTCTTGCTTGCCACCATGTAAGACATGCCTTCCGCCTTCAGCCATGATTGTGAGGCCTCTCCAGTCATGTGGAACTGTGAGTCCTTTAACCTCTTTTTCTTTATAAATTACCCAGTCTTGGGTATGTCTTTATCAGCAGTGTGAAAACGGACTAATACAGAGTTCAAGTGACATTTGTTTATTTCAAAGTCAAACTTCAGACGTGTGATTTCTCATTTCCATAAAGATAGTTTTTCAACCCAGGACTCAAGGCTTTCTGGGTTGTCAGCGTTAGACCCTGGGAAACATATTGAGCTCTGATATAGACTGTAAACCAATGGCCTGGAGAAGCAGGCATTTGGAACACGTGGTCTGACCTTTGGACTCTTATCCTAACTGCTACCTGTTAAACCATGGTGGGGAGAGGTGGGGGATACCAA